AACCAAACAAATAAGAGCAGAAAACATATTATATTAGAAATTGGCTTCAATGAGTGAAGAGATTATCTCTATACTTCTGTAGTTAAGAAATATTTAAGACAGTGTGTCGAGAGACAGTGGATAGAGAACTGCTAAGTAACTGATTAATATTGATACATTTTTAATATTTAAATTATTAAGACCTAAAAGTATGGCTTGTTTTCAGCCACAGGTGGGAAGCATGTTTTTCAGGGTTTACTGGATCTAGACAAAAAGGAACTTGTCCTTCAATTTTTCAAGTGAGTATATTTCTAAGCCTGTTTATGCTAGCCAAAATTAGTGTCCCACTTAGTATAATACTGAATGGCTAACCAAGCTAGCCAGCAGAATCGTTAGCTTATGATAGCAACAGAAAAGTGTCAAATGTAGACATCAAGATAAACCAGTGGGTAAAGCGATAGATATGAACATCTTAGATAGGCTGTGATCTTACTTTAGTATTATTTTTTGGTGGCATACTTGCTGAAACTAACATATGGTTTAGATATGAACTCTGGCTAGTTAAACCTCCTTTATGCTATGCTGAGGACTCCACCAATACCTAAAGGTAATATATAGTGTTTTAGATATGCATTGTTCTATTATATTTGACATATAATTGCTTTGTTTGTCTGTTAGCTTCACTAAACTAACATATTTTAGCTTTAATTGTAGGTGGAATATTTGATTATAATTGAGTAGGCAGAGGAGACTTTTTTGGCGATATCCTGCTTTAAGATATTGTTGTTGCTGTATGGGGAGGAAAAAAATAACCAGTATATTCAATATATATTTAATATTTAACATCTCATTGCAATCAATGCCTGTCCAAACCAAGGCAGACGAATTGATTGACCACACAAGTTCCAATCAGAACTAGAATCATATCTTCAACAATGCAGAACAAAAAAATTTCTTGTAATTGGATTGTGAGTAAGAATCATGTCAAGGCTGTGCGGTTACACTTTCAATAAAAAGGTGGCTTCCCACAGATTTACTTTCATCTTTTTCCTGACAAACGCAAAATATAGAAACTTCTACTTCAAATGAAAATGTTTTGTTAAATTCGAAACAAAAATCATGAACATCCAACAAAATTAAGCATTTCTTTTGGTGCCCTTCTACTTTGAAGGCTACATATGGGTTGTGTATGCTTTCAGTGTAACTTGGAATCAGTGTTGCTTTGCTCTCATGTGGAAAGACAAGACAAGGCCTTTGTTCTTACTGGAGAGTGTGACAGTTTAAGATATTTAGCATTCAAAATCAAGGACAGCACTGTGCCCTTTTGAGTTAAAATAAGAGTGTCTGTTTTGGTTTCATAAAAGCTGAAAAAAGACTTCTCTGTGAGTGTTGTGCATGGTTATGTTCTCGTATTGGAGAGCTGCACTGGAACAAAAACGTGTTGCTAAATTTTTGTTAGTATGAATCTTACATTTCTTGGTATTTTAAAACTTTGTATCCGAAGTAAATGCAAATTTCAGTCTGCCATTTAAGTCTGACAAACAATGACATTACATTTATTACACAGTTGGCACATCAAAAGCATCTGATAAAAGCAGGAGTAGCACAGATCCATCATTTTTCCAGCACCATCTGGCAGCTGCACTCAGTATTTATCAATCTGGATTACATATACTACCTTTCAGTGATAGTTTTAGGTGCTAAAGCTACATCAAAGCGAGAGATATATGTATGGAGGAAGGCAATTAAAGGATAATTCCCCTCTGGCTCGAGTACCGCTGCAGCTGTCATGATAAGCAGACCGACATCTAATCAGATGAGACGGCTTTGAAAATAGGATGTCGGCACCTAAAAAGCTAAAATACAGATTTAGGTTTTAACATCTCAAGTCTTGAGTTTCAAATGCTGCATTTCTGGCTAAACCATGTACACTTACGGTCCTTTTTCTTTTTTAAACAGTACTGCAGATCATGACTCACAGTGCAAAGGTTCACATTTTTTGACACCTTTTACCTTCACAGCCCTGTTAAAAGAACGTGTACCCTTCGATCTCACCACTCTTCACGTCTTGAACAAGTACAAACTTCTGGAAATGACGTACAGTGAACTCATTATTAAGTTCAAGAAGCCAGTTTGAGATGATTTGAACTTTGGTAAATGGTTTTTATCCTGCTGGAAGCAGCCATCACAAGATGGTACACGCTTGTAAAGGGATGGACATGGTCAGTAGCGGTTTTTGATACGGGCGACACGGGCAGTTGCCCGGGGCGGCAACGTGGTGGGGGGGCGGCATTACGGGCATCGAAAAAAATAAAAAATAAAAAAATTGCTCCTACTCATGCTGCCTTGACGTCGTGCCAGCGCATATTGGGAATGGCATAGGCACCAATCG